TCCGGGAGATTTACTAGCCTTGGGCTAGTGGACTAGCGTAGATTTCGAACCCTGATTTAATCAGAACAAAGTTCTGTTTACACACAATAAAACTTCTCAGTAACGAACCTGTTTCAGGCTCACTCATCTCTACTCACTGGACAGTGGACTGTTCCATTATACCCGTAGGTGTTACCCTAATTAACCTTCTAGTTCAGTGTCTGTCAATTGACTGTCTGTCAAATGGGTGCCTGTCAGTTGGGAGATAACCATATATAGTATATCAGACATCCCAGTATCACAGCTATATGAGATCCAAGCTGTATGATATCTGTAGTTACATGACATCCATATCCAAGCTATATCAAGTATATCAGATATCACAGCTATATGAGACCCAAGCTGTATGATATCTGTAGTTATATCCAGGCTATATCAAGTATATCAGATATCCCAGTACCACAGCTATATGAGACCCAAGCTGTATGATATCTGTAGTTATATGACATCCATATCCAAGCTATATCAAGTATATCAGATATCCCAGTATCACAGCTATATGAGATCAAGGCTGTATGATATATGTAGTTATATGACATCCATATCCAAGCTATATCAAGTATATCAGATATCCCAGCTATATGAGATCCAAATCACAGTTTTATCAGATCCCAGCTTTAACAAATTAACATCCCAGCAATATCACATCCATATTATAGCTATATCACATCCATTATCCATATTATAGCTATATCCAACGATCAATATCAGATGCAATAGTGCATGGGCAGGTATGGTTTACTACACTGTATCCTCATGTTCATTACAGTTCCACACTCAAACATAGGCAAGCTGTCTACCAGTCATTCCTGTCATTATATTACATTTTCTCAGCTGTGCCCACTAAAGCAGAAACATTGCATGGCTTGTTTGTTTAATGTTACACTCAAGAATATTACAGCTACAGTTAGAAGGTGGGCAATCTGGCCCAGACAAACCAGTGGTTGATAATATGAGCACAATTGAAACAATATAATTAAAACAAGTAAGTGAGTATTACCACTTGATGCGTATACTGGTTTAGTAACCTTTAATAACCTTTCTAACCAGGTATCTGTACAGGTAAGCCAGTACATGAAGTAGACTTACCTAATAACAGTCAATGTGTGATAATGGAAATCCACTGAAACTGATTCCCAGTGGCAAATTAGGGCTTGAAGGAGTCGATGCGATTAGGGTCGAGCTTTACAATAGGAAAACGGTTGTGAAAAAGCGTGGGGCAATGTCTAACCTATTATGAGTGCTTCATTAAATAACTTACTACATTCCTAATCTTGTTATGTTGCAAGATTGGTAAGTTTTAGTAATCACTGCTTCAAAACTGTTTACAGTTAGTTTGCATCATTGTATAGCAGAATCTGGGAGATCATGTAGTTAATGAAAGACACTGTTCATGTGACAGCCAAACCTAGATTAGGATTGCAAATATCTAGAAAAATTTCATATTAGATACACCAAGGCTTCATTTGGATCATGTAAAATTTGGTCACATTTTCAGCCATGTGCTTTTTATTTGTTGACAATGTAAAAGTCTAATAAAGATAATGCACTATACAAAAGTCTCTCATAAAACAACATGAATCATATGTCTACTGAAAACTGACCTTTTGTCGAAAATTCAACTGCTCAAAGCACACAGTGATAGCAGTTACGGCTGGGACGGGTCCAAATTTTCTACCCGAGTACCCCACCCCTATTACCCCACCCCTATTACCCTACCCTACCCTACCTGGATACCCATATGTTAATTCCTGACATTCTTCAGCTCGGAGGCTAAAATATCGAGATTTTTAATATCTTAACCATGTATTACAACTAAAAGAGGTGACTGTACTTATGTCTAAATCTTCAAAGACACAACAAGCTTTAAATCATGAAAGAATAACATATTACACTGTTTAATCTATTAGTCACATGATCACAACGGGTCCGGGTATTGAGATGGGTACCTGGGTCCAACTCATTACCCACCTGTCCTGGTACCCGTCCCAGCCCTAATAGCAATCTAAAACAAGGCAAAAACAATTTAAGGCTCTCAACATCATTTTCTGCAGAGTATATTTTCATAGTCATGACATTCTGTGTTCCCTTTAGCTGGGCTTGCTGGACCACAGTTAGTTTTCACTCTGATAAGATACAGGGATAAGACAAAGATTGCATATTGGGTCAAATGTATGTTCATTGTGTTTCCCATTTACAATAGATGGCTTTTGCATATTACACATACTGTTTTCTCACATCGAACTTCACGCACCCCTGCTTCATAGTAAGCTGGAAAAGTATTTCCAAAAATATTTTCAAAAATGAAACTGAAAAAATTCAATGGCAGGTTTGCAAACTCGCCTTGTGGAAATCTGTGATGCTACTTTCTGTATCCATGCAAGGACATGCTTTTTGATGTTTCTGATTGGCTACAGGTGTTAGCACGGTCTGGCCTTATCCAATCATATTTGGCATAACGTATTATCTTAGGCAGAATAGTAAAGCTATCAAAGCTTGTCATCAGGGCTGTCTCACATTCATCACAAAACTAAAAAGATCATAAACAAACTTTAGAAGAAGGTTTTATATGAGATAATAGCGCAACATCAAAATAATAATCGATATATATATGTGGAAAATATGAATCAATACTAACACAAATGAATCGTGCATAATATCCCACAACTGAATTTGCAATAAAAACGACAAGTGGAAGAAATGCAGAAAAAAAATAAAAACAGATTGGTACATACAGTAAACTACAGTTACAATGAACTGAGGGGCGGTGGGGTAGCCTAGTGGTTAAAGCGCTCGCTTGTCACACCAAAGATCTGGGTTCGATTCCCCACATGGGTACATTGTGTGATGCCCATTTCTAGTGTCCCAAGCCATGATATTGCTGGAATATTGCTATAAGCGGCAGAAAACCCAAAACTCACGCACTCACTACAATGAACTGAAAACTGAAAATCTAAGTTTGTTATAGTGAGTGAGAGAGTATGGTTTTATGCCGCTTTTAGCAATATTCCACCAATATCAAGGGAGGGACACCAGTATTGGGTTTCAAAGTCATACATTGTACACATATGTGGAATCAAAGCTGGGTCTTCGCATGATGAGCAAATACTTTAACCAACAGGTTACCCCACCATCCCTTTAGTTTGCTATAATCATACTTCATTATAAACATTTCGAATAATATATACAGCCAGAGGCCAGGACCATACAAGTTTGTCATATCCATTATTTTGTTAGTTAGACAGACAGCTACTGTACACTAACAGAAATTCAAGTGTAATCCCTCAATTTCATTTGTTTTGAGCTCCACCACAAAAGTACCAAAAGCCTTTAGCAGGGGTGGAAATAACTTTCAAATTGCTAGTTTACTCCGGTACAGTGCACATGTAATATAACTTGCCCTGATAATTTTTCCACTATACCGGCCGTTTTCTTGTTGATTCTTTAAAATAAACAACATAATTAACATTGGAAAGTCAACTGGACACCGGTACAGTGTGATTTACAAACTTGCTTGCCCGACAGAAAAAAACACTTGACTCGGACATCAGGCAATGGGTTATTTCCACCCCTGCTTTAGTCATGTTGATCAGATTATACCAGACAATGAACACGGAAGAACCAGAGACATAATACATATGTATCATCTCTGAAACAGGGATTTACGGGATGCAAATTTATCACTGAGTTTGCTACTAGCTGGGTTTTGGTATCATTTCCAATTTAATTACCGTAACAATGTGCCGATCATGATACACAATATATCCAAGTGTCAGGGGTTTTCAACGAATGTAAGACAAAAACGTACTTTTTATCTGTTATGTCATTTAAAGTTTTTATTTTACTAACCTTGAGAGATAAAGGATAAATTCATTTATTTCACACAAAAATATCAAGTGTTTCCTACAAAAAATAGCATTGATGACATCGTATTGGCGAACCGACTGCCACTCACCACATGCGGGGATTTTGTATGGGTTTTCGAAGATGAGCCATACTTTTTATTCTGCACTGTGACTGAGGGAGTGTTGTGATCACGATATATGGCTTCCTATTTATATATTGCCTGTCACTGATAATTAAAGTGCACGACTGATCTTACTGAATTTTTGCAGGCAAATTTGGAATCATCTCTGCTCTGCGTACCTAATTTCAGTTCAGTTTTCCGACCACTACTTAACGAATGACATCACATTTATCAACTTACGTATGGTTCGGAAAGATTTCCACCCGTATCCCCCCTTAAATTTAATTTTAGTCAAATCATATCACCTGAATATATATTCCTCATCTGATAAGGATGGGTTTTTCACATGTTTCTTTAATTGTATTTGAACATACTGAAAGACATATTCAACTTCTAATAATGCCACTCAAAGAAATTTTTCCTCATTGTTAAAATTTTGGGGGGATACGGGAGGAAGTCTTACCAATTATTTATGCTACACTAAATTAACATGTATTAATGTTAGTCTATGGAAATTACGTCAAGTGTCCGAATACCTTTTGCACGACTCTGTGTACATATTTCAAAGAGCGCCCCCGAGTAATACCGGAGCAGCAGTTGAGCGCTTCCTGTGTTGTTTGCAAGAACAATATTAGTTGTTTCCAGCACCCACCGTTACGTTTTACAATCAAGCCCAATCAACAAATAGGGTACCGATGTAAACAGCCATACACCTTTATTCAGGAGATTCTACCTCAGTCTACAGTTTTTGTACCGGTGCATGCATAAGCGACTTCTAGGCTACCAGTCTTGTTTTACAAAATTGCACTTACTTTTTACCAGTTCTCCGTGTTGTCATACAGTTGATATATCATTAAATGATTAAATGCAGTCACATTTTAGACAAATATGTTTTCTTTTGCTCAGAAACATCGTTTTCGTTGGACTTTTCGAAATCATCGTTTGACAGGTGCACATTTACTTCCTGAGCATGCGCACCTTGCCGGATGTTGACAAAATTTGCAGGAAGTGTACTTTCTACCACGGCAATAGAGCAGCCGAGAATTCCATTCCAGCAAATTATGACTGTCTAATGTCCTCCCTGATATCTAGCTACATTTGTGATGACACAATTTAACACGATGGATATCGCTTCGGAACGATGTGAGTTACAATCACGAGGCTATGTCGGTAGTCGATTAAGAATTCAGGGGAATGTTACTAGCCAACATCGCATTGTTGACAAGTTTGACAATTTTGTCACAATTTGTGCCCTGATGCATGCATCAATGGGTCAGTGAAGTCATAAATGACACTTTCGGTGTTCACTGTAAAGCAGAGTGAATGAAGCGTAACTAAATGAAACCCTGACGGTTTATTTAGTTTATTGAATAATGATCAACTATTTCAAAGGGAATAATTAGGAAAGCCATGTCCAAAATACATGGCAGCAATTGCCAGACTTTGGCATACATTTCAAATCCTGTGTTCTTCATGGTTGAATTGAAAGATCTCAACCAACAATAACAGGAATTTGTCGTGTTTTAATTGAAATGTAGTCCCCATAAGGAATGTTTTTCCCCATCCAGGGATTATCAGAACTAAATTTGGTGAGTAACTTTACTAGGCTGGTATTGTTTACAGTGTTCAGAGATTTCCAATAATTCTACAGGTGTCATGTCATTAATTTTGAATTAATTAGTTAAAGAAAAGGAGTTTCATTGTTTCAATCATGACAGTTATTATCAGTATTATTACAGTAGGATGTATGACTCACAAGTAGTATATATTTTAATGACTAACGTTTGTTAACAACCAACAGTGCAAATATTGAAGTCTTGGAAACTGTTGGAGTTTAGTTGGACGATAGCTTCTATATATGGCTATTGACACCCTCATGATTATCTGAGTTAATGATGATACTTAGTAGTGGATATCTGTAGATGAATGTATCTCAAATGTGTCAAAGTGTGTTAGCTGCCTTGGTAATTGTCATCAGTCTAGCACCATATCTATTTCATCAAGGACAGCAAGACCAAAAATGTTAATTCTTTCTGTTTTCCAGCCTTCATGTTCTAATCATGATTAGCCTCAACAAATCATTAATTGCCACTTTAAGGAATATACATGGCAATATCATTTACACAGCATTCATAAGTAAAGTCACATACTACTAGTGGTGTGACGATTCATCAATACGCATCGATGCATCAATCCATGAGCCGCCGATACAGTGAATCGATACAGAGTTTTACATTGTCATATATCCCGATACGATACTTCAAATGGGCCACGATACATCAATGTTTAACTTTGAATATTGTCGAATCGCGACATTTGTCAAGAAAAAAAGACTTACTTTTGTTTAATGATTAAATATATGCTTACTTATTTTCCCTTCGTAAGTAAACATTTTCTTTGAAATTCTTGCATCAAGAACTGTGTCAGACAAAGCGTTCGCATGTATTGACATTCACAAAGTCCGCTTCCGAATGAACATTGAAAAACGCTGGCGGAATTTGATGAAATACTTTAAAATGGTTTTGTTTTGATCTTAAGGTGTTTAATAGTTGGTGTTGCAATTAAAGATTTTAGTATCGTGATACGTATCATATCGCCATCCTTATATCGGGATTCGTATCGTATTGCACAATACTTTAGCAATATATCGTCATGACTAAAATTTTAGTATCGTGATATATCGTATCGCAGGTTGTATGCCAATATCAGTACTACATACTACCCAGTGTTGTTCATGTGACTATGGTTTATCTGTCTTGTGCTGCCAATGGCTGGTGCTATTTGCAACACACAACCTTCTAATCATAACTAAGTGGTTTATATAATTATCCTTATTATATTTACATCAACTCTGTTATGAGAATGATAAGTGTAGTGCCTTAGGAAATCAGTCTGTTTTAGGGCAAATGAAAAACAACTTTCACTTGTCCAGAAAATAAGTAGCTTGTCCTGCTTGATAAAGAGAAAACTTTTTACAATTTAATTTTTGTTTTGTCAGTGTATTCAGTTTTATTACTTCTAATGTGTATCAAAGCTGAGACCTTGAGAGCTGATTCAGAAATATAGCCCACAAATGCTACTAGTCAGTGAGGACTATATTTTCATCATTTAGAAAATCTGAGTAATGTTTTGTTTGTCATGTTTACAGAATGATAATTTCTACAGGAAACAAAGAGCCATGGATAGTGAAGAAACTGTGTTGGTAGTTGGGAGCGACATTTCACTTGCTGACCTGCAGGCAGAGATGGAGGTTGGAGAAGATGGGGGAGAAGAGGGGCAAGATGCATCGTCAGCACCTGAGGAGGAAGAAGACCTAAGCTCTTTTGAATTACTTCAAACACGTAATGTGTTTTGCTTCTTTGATGAAAATTTGTTGGATTCCAACCCACATGTGTTACCTGGTAATGCACAAGGCAATAAGGAGGATTCTATGGACAGTCCATGTGTCGCATCTGCTGACTGTGCTCATCAGAGCTTATCACACCAGTTGCACTCAAAAAATCAGAACATCAAAGAATGTGATATGAAGTCTCAGGAATTGTTTCATGACAGTGAAACATTGTCTCCTTCTGTTAGTGGTTTAAATCAGAAAGGTGACCCCTTGTCAGACAAAAATGATGGCGTAAATTGTGATACAAATTCCCTCAGGCTAGAAAGAGATAATAAATTCCCCTTTATGAACGATGTCAAGTTTCTCCATCATTTCCAAATGGTGTCCATCAAGGTGAGCGATGGGCACGACCATCACACAGACTGGCCCAGCATAAGCATTCAACTTTGACAAGACCATCACAATGTGGTAAAAAAAGTGCACTGGAGTCAGAGACATGTGGAGAGCTGCCTTTCAAGGAACCAAGTGTTATTGAACTGAGACTGAATGGAGCATCAGCTGCCCATCCAGCAGCTTCATCAACTGCCACATCAGCAGCTCCGCAGAAACCTGTGATACACACGACTGTGATAGATGTTCACCCAGGGCATGTTGTACATAAACATGATAAGAATATGCTGGAGTGTGAGTTATTGGAACATTATAGTGCTTTGCAAAGTCTTCCAGAAGAAATGTTGCTCAAAATATTTTCTTACTTTTCACCCAAAGAACTGTGTCAATATGTTGCACCTGTATGCCGTCGTTGGCGTGTCCTTGCTTACGAGCCTACATTGTGGACATGCTTAGAAATCGACCCTTCGTGGGAGGTGAGTATTGAAGACATCACTGCACTTCTTGAACGTGTGTCAGGGGTGAGGGACCTCTCACTCCACGCCAGGAATGATGTTACGTATTTGGAAGTCTTCAATTACCTGAAACACTGTGATCACTTGACGGAGCTTGACCTTGGGTTATGTGATAGTATTAATATTCATGTCATCCAGTGTATTGTCAAGTTCTGTCCTTTAATGAAGAACATCAATGTAGAAGGATGTAGCAAAATCGACTTTGAGTGTGTGAAGCTGCTGGCTTCCCTACGTCACCTGTCCCACCTGAACCTCTCGCACTGTCGTCTAGAGAATGACAGCATCCTTCTCCTGGCGTACTCCATTGACAGCATCGTCAGCTTCAACGTCGATGGTGTGTCGTGGATCACAGATGAGTAAGAATTGTTTCATTCAAGCATTGACAATAAAATAATAAGATGTCAGTTGAATAATAAGGAGTGAGAGAATGAGTGAGTGAGTTTGGTTTAATAATAAACAGAATTATCATAGCTTCACATGGGATGAAAGCCTGAAGGTAACAGGCCATTAACATTTGTCCCTCCAGTGAAACATGGGAACATTGTTATACATTGAGGGGCCAAATATTAGAGGTGTGACGATACGGAAATGTCACGATTACGGAAATGTCACGATACGATACTTACCGCGATATCTTGGAACGATACGGTTCGATGAATATCATGATATGCTATCTTTAGTTATTTTCTTTAAAAAAGTATACTTTGATAGGATGTAACAGTGTAAATTTTTACATAACCGTAAATTTCTAGTGAACATTAACATTTTTTAGGTCAACGATACATATCACGATACGAACAAAAGTATCGATATATATTTAATCGTCAGATAAAGTATCACGATTATCGATACTATGATATATCGTCACAGCTGTACCAAATATCACTTGCAATTAGGACCGATATTTAGGGCATCCTTCTGCAACTGGGATCTGAACTCTACACAGCGAATTGCCTAGCCATGAAGCTGTGGGCCTGTTATGCCACAAAGTATTAATGGTACTTAATCAATGTTTACTCATATTCACCTTGTTGTTTTGGTCCAGTTTGCATTTTTTAGGAGATGCGTCTTCTTTGTTTTTAATTTTGAGATAGGTAAATCTCGCAATGTCTACTTTTTACATGCTGACAGTTAGACTATTTCTAAAATTTAATACCACTGATCAATGCTCAAATAGAATCAAAAGTTGGATTGATAAATGGGTTCTCATACTGAGTGTCACCTTGTCTTATGAAGGTTATCAATAGCCAGTGATTTGTTGCGTCTGTTGTAGCGGTGTTGTGCCCCTCTGTGAGCGACACAAGTCCAGCCTGAAGCATCTGGAACTAGATGGGGAGGAGCTGACCGATAGGAGCATGTCAGCCGTGGCCAAGTGCCAGTCTCTTGTAACACTCAATGTGTCCTTCTGTGACCTGCTGACAGATGCCAGCCTAGAGTATCTCAAGGTACTGGGAACACCATCCACATGTTGTACTGTGTTAGTTCTTAACTGTAGTAAATATCCTGAACCCATTCTTCAGCATAGGGGTGGTGGCATAGTCTAGTGGTTAAAGCATTCGATCGTCACGCCGAACACCGGGGCTCAAGTCACCACATAGGTACAATGTATGAAGCCCATTTCTGGTGTCCCCCTCTGTGATATTGCTGGAATACTACCAAAAGCGTCGTAAAACTAACTCACTCACTCCTCACTCTTCAGCATAGGTTCAATTAGGGTCCAGTACTTATGTCTCACTGCTATGACTATATGCCCATTCAATCACTTTTCTTTCAAGTATCAATATTGGTACTCAGTTTCTACTGCATGAGGATTTCCCTCCCCCATTCTTACTTGAGTATTCCATGCTTGTCGTAAGAGGCGACTAACGGGATTAGGTGGTCAGGCTCGCTGACTGGGTTGACACATGTCATTTTATCCCAATTGCGTAGATTGATGTTCATGCTGTTGATCCCTCGATTTCTGGTCCAGATTCGATTATTTACAGACCACAGCCATATAAATGGAATATTGCTGAGTGTGGCGTAAAACTAAACTCATTCACTTAATCTTACATGAGTGAATGAGTGAGTGAGTATGGTTTCATGACACCTTTAGCAATATTCCAGCAATATCATGGGACGCCAGAAATGGGCTTCACACCTTGTGCCCATGTGAGAATCGAACCCGGACGCTTTAACAATAAGGCTACCCCACAGCACCCCATTCTTAAGACTCAGGCCACTATTTTGAATGAAGCGGTGTCATTTTGATTGGTTGTAGAGGTTGCTGTGTGGGGATTCCAGGTTAGAATTAATCCACGCCAACCTGTTGAAAGTGGCAACCAAGAGTGAGTGAGTTAAGATTTTATGCCACATTGGCAATATTTCAGCCATATTGTGACGGCGACCAAATCAGGTAGTCAAGCTCAGTAAATGGTTGATTGGACATCATTCTACCTCAATGGCAGGGATTGTTTGGTCCAGATTCTATTACAGACCAATGCTGAATGATGCAATAAATAACAAACGATTTGATACTCAGGAGACTGCATTGTTGCCTTCATTTTATGCTTTGTAGGCTGAGTTTGTCTAAAGTCATGGGAACCTCACAGTGAAATAATCTCTTCTTTATTTAGGAACTGACAAAGCTGAGAAAACTACGTCTTCGGAAGGGTTTGGAGTTTTCTGAAGAAGCTGTAGAGAAGTTCTTTAAGCATGGCCACCTTCACAGTGTCACTGACCTTGACATGTCCGAGTGTGCTGGCATGAAGGACATCAGTCTCCTGTCTCTCACTGCGTGGTATGTTCTGTCACATGCTCGTCCCCTTTACCACGATCTCATCTGGACAGGGATGGCATATTTACGCTGATCCGCAGATTTCCGCTGATATTATTTCAAATTGTTTAATTGTGAATCGTCTAAATCCATTGAGAAACCCTCAACTCGCTGACACAATATTAAGTTTTCCGCTGAAAATAGATTTTCCTGTTGCCATCCCTGTCTGGATCTGATCAACATCTCTGTGTTTGAGAGACTTACAAACGCAACTTGAAAAGCTGACATCAGATTGGCTCACGAAAACTAACATTCCAGCAAATTTCGCTACACGTTGACATAACATGATGTCACATGAAATGTTTGTTAGATCTTCAGCTACAGAGGTGTCAAAGTAAAAGATAATATTTTCTGACACATTCAGACAGACAGTGGTACATATCCAGAACCTTTCCATCGCATATTGTGGTATATTTCTATGACCTGTCAGTCTCACACAATGGCATATATAGAGAATACTACACGAGGTCTCATTACATGCGAATTATACAAAACGCTTTCGCTCGGTCAGATACCATAGGATGGTCACGAGTTTCGTATAATTCATATATAATGAGACCGAGTGTGGTATTTTATTTATCAACCATGTCTTACATGCATTAAATTGACAAAATAGCGTATTTTTGTTATTGTTATGGTTTCGAACCGAAACCAGCTTCATAAAGAGGTTGCGGAAGAATTTTGTTCTGTAGTACACTTTTGCATGACGTCACACTGTATTGACGTCACTACTCTATTCTCGTTTGTCCCCTTGGTAACCGACGTCACGATGCATGTCAGTTGTCATCGCCTCGTACAGCCTCCTACAGTAAACTACTCCATAGCACCCCTTTTGTTGGTTTGCAATTGCTTCACTCGGCTAACATCATTGGTGGAAACATTGCGTTTGTTTTTCGACGGATATAATGTCTCAGTTCGACCCACAATTAAACAGCAATACAGCAACGTTAGCAATGTTTACATTCCCACAATGCATATAAGTTGTAGAATGAATGAATTCACGTGTTTGTTATGAATGAACAAGTAGTTCCGTCCCAACGTGACCTAACTGAGACGTCATCGGTTATCCAATCAAATCTTTAGAATCTCAGGTCAAGTCGTTACGACACAGGTCAACGCGATACGACACTCGTGTGACGTACGAGATTAGAATGCAACTACCCATACGCTGACCACGTGGGTAATAAATCTGGATGTGACACAGTGATTTGTTTTTTACTTAAGTTGTGTATTATTCAGTTAATATGGAAACGATTCTTGATACTTTTGCTGTAAGTAAGCACGTAATATATAGTGAATGTATATTCTGTAGTGAAAATGATAAAGAGTTTCATTGGGAATACATGCCATGAACTGTGATTTAGTCAGAGTCAGATTTAGGATTTTTCAGTTCTTCTGACCACACTGCTACATATCGAGAAAAATTATTAAGTTCTAGTGAATTAAACAGTTACCATGGTTACCCTGTCCCCAACATTGTCCCTGAATGGACATTTAAGATTGAGACTTTGTTGACAGTTGTGGCAGCAGCCTGATAGAGCTGGCTCTACAGTGGTGCTGGTACATCACTGACATTGGCCTGGCTTCTATAGTGGAGTGCTGCAGGTAATACTGACACAGATGTCTTGTTTCGTCTTGGTTTAATATAGGATAATATGATGGTTTGCTTGCCAAAACCTGCTCCAAATGCAACAGGATTATTCTAGTTCTAGTCAGTGGATTACTGTGTACTGAATTTTCATGTTCAACTCCCTGGGGAGTGTACAGCCTGAGTTGTTTCATTTGTTGAACTGTTTATGAAATATTGAACTTCTGTTCCAAGTTTAGACCCGTGAAGATCTGGGTTAGAATTGATCTTCAGCAACCCATGCTTGTCGTAAGATGCGACTAACAGGATCGGGTGGTCAGGATCGCTGACTTGGTTGACACATGTCATTATATCCCAGTTGCGTAGATCGATGCTCATGCTGTTGATCACAGGATGGTCTGGTCCTGAATCGATTATTTACAGACCATATAGCTGGAATATTGCTGAGAGCGGCATAAAACCAAACTCACTCACTCACACTGATCCAAGTTTCGTGTGCAAACTAAGAAGATCAAAGACTCACTATCTCAGCTCAGAGCAAGTAATTATGATCTGAAGAATCATGAAGGTATATTTCAAATGTCTTATCTGTACATCTTATACCCTTAATGTTGTACGAATGAATATAATTTTCTGCTTGTTTTAAAACTTTATCTTCATTGAAGCAAAACATAGTCCGAAAAACCGAACATTTTTCTACATTGTCCAAATACCAGTTTGTGTTAGGTACTCATTTCAACCACAAATGTTAAAACAGTTAAAAGTTGCACGTACTTATTGCTTGTCAGAATAGTTGATGATCATGCTCACTTACTTGGTTCATGCATGTCATCATATCCCAGATATTTTTATCAATGATCATGATGTCAATCACTGGATTGTCTGGTCCAAATCTGATTATTTGTAGAATTAAAACCGAGTTGAGTGAACAACAAACAAATCTTGTGAAGATGTTGAACTATGGGCCGATTGTCTGTTTGTCCAGCTTGAACAACAAATATTAAATTGATACATATATATCCACTGTGTCATTCCTGACCTTCATGCTTCAACTCAATCCTAATGTTAATGTACTTCTCATTCAGCAACCTGGAGCGACTTGACCTGACGGGGCTGCACCGCCTGTCGGGGGAGTGTCTGGATAGAGTGCCAGATGATATGGTACATCTCCGCTTCCTCGACCTCCGGAACTGTAACAATGTAAGTCCATCTTCCCCGTGAATCAAAGCTGGTATGTTCTGATATAGAGAAATGAGAGAAAATGAAGCAATTGTAAGTAATGATCAACAGCCTTGACTCCACCTGGAATGTGTTGAGACACAGGTGATGACATTACCAAGGATCAAAGCATATTTTGCATGTGTTGGTTATGGTACTCGGCAGTGGGTTAGCCAAGTGGTTAAAGCATTCACTCATTACTCTGAAGACCTGGGTTCGATTCCCTACATAAGTACAATGTGTTAAGCCCATTTCTGGTGTGCCCCTGCCGTGATATTACTGGAATATTGCTAGAGTGGTGCAAACCTCAATCACTCTCCACCCACCCACCCACTTGAAGTGTCTAATTGATTTCATATTTTTGCAATAAAGTAGGTTTAAATCAAACCTATCTTTTTCAATCTTTAATTCTCTTAGATCTGGTTCATTTTGTTATTCCAGATGAATGACAAGTTGATTTGTGAGATGATCCGGTCGAAGCCTGACCTTCAGGTGATGAACTACTACGGTGAAATGTTTGTGTATGGAGAAGGGAGTCCATGATGTGTCTCGCCATACTAGGAGCCGACATCACAATCATGACATCCATTTTGAATAAAGTATTTTGCCTGAAATCAGTTCTGTCAGTTAAGCCAGGTTGGTATTATGGACAGAAGTATGAAATGAACTATGAGAGAAGTAAGACCTGTTTAGTAAAAATACACCACAATAGTACCTGAATGTGACTCTAGATGTCTACATGTGTCGGGAATTACAGAGCTAGTGGCTGATAAAAGCAGTTAATTATTGGAAGTCACCAGTTGAAGCTGTAGGTTGTGTATCTGATGTTGTTTATTTTGAGACAGGAACTTAACTGGTGGTGCATAAGTCCCAAAATATTGGAACGTGAAACATATGCACAGTTAGATAATTTGATTTTGTGGGATATTATTTGTTAAAGTGGAAATCATGTTTGATGTGAAACAGAATTGTTGCAGTTTAGTTTTAAATGATTGTGTGTGTGTCCAGTCGACTTTTGTCATATTTCAACACCGAGCCTCTTGTCAGGCAGTTATTGACATCACAGTTTGTGTCTATGTGATATAGATCTTGATTGATGATTCATAAAAACTAGGATATGATTTGTATAATACAAGATGACATCTTTATAAACCAATCAAAACCTCAGTTTCTGCGACAGTCGGCAATAAAAAGCGTTACCCTCTTTGCACCGGTAACTTAAATGTACTGTCATTTTGTGGCGGTGGGGTAGCCTAGTGGTTACAGCATTAGCGTCACGCTGAAGACCCGGGTTCGATTCCCCACATGGGTACAATGTGTGAAGCCCATTTCTGGTGTTCCCCGCTGTGATATCGCTGGAATATTGCCAAAAGCAGCATAAAACCATACTCACTCACTCACTGTCAATTTGTTGCTTGTCCCACTCATGAGTACAACTACTTAGATTGACAGCTGTACAAACAGATGTGATGGGTCAAAGCAATTAATTTTAAGAATTGACAATTTTAGTTGTCAAGTTTTGTCTAGGGAGGAAGGATGGATGAAAGTTATTCTTTGTGCTTTGGGCTGCAACGGACACACTATGAGCATACAGTATAAATTATTCATGGTAAACTTTGGGTTTCAATGAATACATTATGAGTATACATGACAGTGCCAAGTGGGGGCCACTTCAGAAGAATAAGTCGTAAATATTAGATTCTAGTAACAAATTGATATGAGGGTGAAGGTTCAATCCTCAACATCGGCTTATGCATGGGCGGATCCGGTGTGTGTGCGCGTGTGTGTGTGCGTGCGCGCGTGTGTGTGTTGTGGCGCATGCGTGCGTGCGTGTGTGTCCCCGCCTATGTTATGATTGTCAAAGCGATAAGATCACTCTGTGGAATGAACTCAAGGAACACAGACCAAAGTTAGCCAGTGGCGTTGAGTGTTGTGAACTCACTTAACTCTTTCATTCACTTTAAATTGAGTTGAACTGACTGAGTTCTCTAGTTTCTAAAGTTATGTTGGTCATTCAGTGTGTGAAGTTTATTTTTGATGTTGGTACTGGCAGGCCAAGTATTTTTGTCCCAGAGCAGAAGACGTGGGGAGTTTTTCTTAGTAGTCGATGTTTGAGAACCATGACTCAGTGAGCACCATTTATCTGTTTTCATAAGATTATATTTAAGTTGTCCATACTTTGAGTTATTAATGATAAAGTGACATTATAAGTCTTAACCAATGTGGAGGACTTTGTCTGTTTTATGCACCTTGCTGATCATTGCTAATAAATACACCAGGAGAATAAGTACTGGTACCTGTTTTGTAGGTATGTATTATTGGATGTACTGAAAAGGCAGCTCTGAGTACACCTTCAGCCTCAGTTTCTTATTTCAGTTTGTTTTCTCTGAGTCTGTTGTGTTTGACGAGTATATTTTGACATCAGCCAGATGCCAAAGGATTGTTGGTGAAGTCTGTATGGAATATTTCAGAGATATTACAAACCAATGCAGAATGTCAGTATAGTCACATGTAGTACTCCATTGTATATAGTAGGAATAAATTATGTCAACTCATCGTGTTGTTGTTGTTCAGCATGAGTATAGCTGCCTTATTCTTACTCTGACAGTTACTGGATTTGTGAGTGAAGGGGCTGCTCTTCAGTTTGCACTTTGACAGAAACGTGGGGTTGCTCTTGAGTTTGCACTTTGACGGAAACGTGAGCTGCTCTTGAGTTTGCACTTTGACAGAAACGTGGGGTTGCTCTTCAGTTTGCACTTTGACGGAAACGTGGGGCTGCTCTTCAGTTTGCACTTTGACGGAAACGTGGGGTTGCTCTTGAGTTTGCACTTTGACAGAAACGTGAGCTGCTCTTCAGTTTGCACTTTGACAGAAGCGTGGGGTTGCTCTTCAGTTTGCACTCTGATGGAAGCGTGAGCTGCTCTTCAGTTTGCACTTTGGCGGAAATGGGGTTGCTCTTCAGTTTGCACTTTGGCGGAAGCGTGGGGCTGCTCTTCAGTTTGCACTTTGACGGACACGTGGGGCTGCTCTTCAGTTTGCACTTTGACGGAAACGTGGGGTTGCTCTTCAGTTTGCACTTTGACGGAAACGTGGGGTTGCTCTTCAGTTTGCACTTTGACAGAAACGTGAGCTGCTCTTGAGTTTGCACTTTGACAGAAATGTGGGGCTGCTCTTCAGTTTGCACTTTGACAGAAACGTGGGGTTGCTCTTCAGTTTGCACTTTGACAGAAACGTGGGACTGCTCTTCAGTTTGCACTTTGACGGACACGTGGGACTGCTCTTCAGTTTGCACTTTGACGGACCGATGGGACTGCTCTTCAGTTTGCACTTTGACGGACACGTGGGGCTGCTCTTCAGTTTGCACTTTGACGGATACGTGGGGCTGCTCTTCAGTTTGCACTTTGACGGACACGTGGGGCTGCTCTTCAGTTTGCACTTTGACAGAAACGTGGGGTTGCTCTTCAGTTTGCACTTTGACGGAAACTGGGGCTGCTCTTGAGTTTGCACTTTGACAGAAACGTGGGACTGCTCTTCAGTTTGCACTTTGGCGGACCACGTGGGACTGCTCTTCAGTTTGCACTTTTTGACGAAGCGTGGGGCTGCTCTTCAGTTTGCACTTTGACGGACCGTGGGGCTGCTCTTCAGTTTGCACTTTGACGGACACGTGGGGCTGCTCTTCAGTTTGCACTTTGACAGAAACGTGGGGTTGCTCTTGAGTTTGCACTTTAACGGAAACGTGGGGCTGGTCTTCAGTTTGCACTTTGACAGAAACGTGGGACTGCTCTTCAGTTTGCACTTTGACGGAGACGTGGGGCTGCTCTTCAGTTTGCACTTTGACGGACACGTGGGGCTGCTCTTCAGTTTGCACTTTGACGGACACATGAGCTGCTCTTGAGTTTGCACTTTGACAGAAACGTGAGCTACTCTTCAGTTTGCACTTTGACAGAAACGTGGGGTTGCTCTTCAGTTTGCACTTTGACAGAAACGTGAGCTGTTCTTCAGTTTGCACTTTGACAGCAACGTGGGGCTGCTCTTCAGTTTGCACTTTGACGGACACGTGGGGCTGCTCTTCAGTTTGCACTTTGACGGACACGTGGGGCTGCTCTTCAGTTTGCACTTTGACAGAAACGTGGGGTTGCTCTTGAGTTTGCACTTTGACGGAAACGTGGGGCTGCTCTTCAGTTTGCACTTTGACAGAAACGTGGGACTGCTCTTCAGTTTGCACTGAGACGGACACGTGGGGCTGCTCTTCAGTTTGCACTTTGACGGACACGTGGGGCTGCTCTTCAGTTTGCACTTTGACGGACACGTGAGCTGCTCTTGAGTTTGCACTTTGATGGAAACGTGAGCTGCTCTTCAGTTTGCACTTTGACAGAAACGTGGGGTTGCTCTTGAGTTTGCACTTTGACAGAAACGTGAGCTGCTCTTGAGTTTGCACTTTGACAGAAACGTGGGGCTGCTCTTCAGTTTGCACTTTGACGGACACGTGGGGCTGCTCTTCAGTTTGCACTTTGACGGACACGTGGGGTTGCTCGTCAGTTTGCACTTTGACGGAAACGTGGGGTTGCTCTTGAGTTTGCACTTTGACGGAAACGTGAGCTGCTCTTGAGTTTGCACTTTGACAGAAACGTGGGGTTGCTCTTCAGTTTGCACTTTGACGGAAACGTGGGGCTGCTCTTGAGTTTGCACTTTGACAGAAACGTGGGGTTGCTCTTCAGTTTGCACTTTGACAGAAACGTGAGCTGCTCTTCAGTTTGCACTTTGACAGAAACGTGGGGTTGCTCTTGAGTTTGCACTTTGACGGAAACGTGAGCTGCTCTTCAGTTTGCACTTTGACGGAAACGTGGGGTTGCTCTTCAGTTTGCACTTTGACGGAAACGTGGGGCTGCTCTTCAGTTTGCACTTTGACTGACACGTGGGGCTGCTCTTCAGTTTGCACTTTGACAGAAACGTGGGGTTGCTCTTGAGTTTGCACTTTGACGGACACGTGGGGCTGCTCTTTAGTTTGCACTTTGACAGAAACGTGGGGTTGCTCTTGAGTTTGCACTTTGACGGACACGTGTGGCTGCTCTTCAGTTTGCACTTTGAATGCAAGTACAGGTAGGGGGCTGCACCACAGTTTGCACTTCCACAGCTATGGCAACAGTAGGATTGCAGTACAATATGTACTGTGACATCAGTTAACAGTCCGTAATGCAGTGAAACATTAGAGCAGGGCCAGCCAGAGCATAGGTGTTTAACTATGATACGGTGTGACAGTTACTTTGAATGAGGAGGTTGCAGTGTAACAGGTACTGATTGGGGGTAGTTGTGATATTAGGGTGTACGTATAGTATAGGCGGAACAAAGGAGGGTTCACCCCACCACCCCCTTTCTGAACTGTGCACCCCTCCTCCTTTCTCAAAAAGCTGTATCCACCCTTGCTAAGAAAGCTGCTGATGTCTAGACAATGCCGTTATCGGTTCACGTCTATCGTGAGAGGAGGCGGTATACGGTGGTTTATTTTACGAACGCTTCAGTTAACGAATCTCAATAAATTAGCAGCACTTGAAACTACGCCTGGATTACAGTATCTGTAAACAACAGATCTAAGTAGAACATTTATGAGGTGAAACAGTCCCTAACAGAATTAATTCTAAGGGAAAATAGAATTCTATACTATTTTATTTAGTGTTTTTGTTTTTTTAATTTTTTACTGAATGACAGAGTCATGCACGAGTTATGTCCCGTACACCACTAACTGCTACTCTGAACAACCTGGCGATCGATGGGACGTTATTTAATGCGACTGACTATGTTTTTACGACATTTTTAGCAATATCACGGCAGGGAGCATCGGAAATGGGCTTCGCACATTGTACTCATGTCTTCAATAATAGGCTATTCATTGATCAAACCCTGGCCTTCGGTGTGACGGGGATTGTTTTAACAACTTGTCAGCCCTTATGTTCATTGATCTATGCCACTGTATTATTTTCAGTACACAGTCACAGCCAGGTTACAGGAACATGCATCGCTCCCAAATCTTACCATTAAGGAATCCTGAGTATGGTGTGACACGCTTTAGGTATTCCGGTTATATTACGGTACGTCAGCTCAAAATCCCAAGTCAGTCAATGTTAAACGTTTTCCATATGGGGTTTGCTTGCTTGTAATTTAACGCCGTACTCAGCAATATTACATGTATATTTAAATAATTGCATTTGGACCAAACTATCCAGTGTTTGACAATCACGAGTGAGTGAGTGGTTTTACGCCGCTTTTAGCAATTTTCCAGCAATATCGCGGCGGGGGACACCAGAAATTCGCTTCACGCATTGGGGAATCGAACCAGGATCTTCGGCCTGACGAGCGGACGCTTTAACAATTAGACTACCTCACCGCCCCTTCACATCACAAGCATCAATGATCGCGGTTTGGATATGAAAATGAAAGTGGGAAAGTAAAATGATAGCAACGGATAATAATAAGGGGAATCAGGGATTCAATCATGATGATCGGATCTTGGCACGTCAAAGGGATGCAACTCCTCTCCTTTCTTTCCTTATGTATACTAAATACGGGATGTCATATGATGTGTCTTATATTCATTGTCATCTGACTGAGTTAGTTTTAAAGTTAACGTCACATAGGACAAATTAAACCCAATAGGGTTCTCCGACACCACGATTACTAAACATAGGTGTGTCCGTCCCTGTGGTGGATGAGAGGCACTGTACCGCACGCATCTCCACTAGTTTCGAGCTGTGATGACGTCATACCGGCACACACATGATCAATCTGGTACCGGTCACTTTTCTCGGTCACATTAATATTTAACACCCAGGGGATGTAGCTCAAACTGGGTCATTAATTCAGAGATAACAGAATAAATTATATCCTATACCTATCCAGCAGTAGAAATATTTCCGCGGACTCAAGATATTTCGCTGCTGTATCGGGTGTGGTTTTCCTTCTAGCCATATTCCACCAATAACATCGACCAAGGACGCATAAAATAGGCTTCCAACATGGCATGCATATAATTTAGGTTTCGTTTAGTTGTTAAATGCCGCACTCAGCAATATTCCTGCTATATGGCGGCAGTCAGTAAATACTCTAGTCTGGACCAGGCAATTCAGTGATAAACATCATGAGCATCGACCTACGCAATTGGAATACGATCGAGCCTGACCCCCCTAACCCGTTAGTCGCCTCTTAAGACAAGCATGGGTTGCTGATGACCACGGGTATGTATTCATATGAGGCATCGAACCCGAGCCATCGGCGTGACGAAGAAAGAAATAACTTTTAGGCTACCACTCATCCCCTGTTAAGTACTATCAAACAGTATATCGCTGCTTATAACAAAGCTTCTTTCGATACAAAACCATTGCCTCTAACCAGCAGTCTCAGTAGGCATTCGTTCATCATCTTTTTAGATTATAGTGAGTTAAAACCTCCGATTCCAGTCACGGCGTGCCGTCGTAATGTGGGAGGAAAGCCCGAAGCAATGCAAGCCTCTGACGTTTGTCACCTTACTGCAACCAACGAGTGAGTGAGTTTAGTTTTACGCCGCTTTTGGCAACATTCCAGCAAAATCACTGCGGGGGACACCAGAAATAGGCTTCACATATAGTACCCATGTGGGGAATCGAACCCGGATCTTCAGCGTGTCGAACGAACGCTTTAACCACTAGGCTACCTACTCCTCTCCCTCCCCTCCCCCCCCCCAAAAAAAAACCACAAACAAACAAAACAACACACCAACAAACAAACAACAAAAAAACAACGAGCTTGGCTGTGTTGCTGACAAACACGACAGGCCGAGTCGATTTCATTTAATAAGACGTTTAATATTTCAATTACTCAAATCTTCTCAATTCTTAATTTATCTTATTAATGTGTATACATACTGTTTTGATTATATATTATAATACATAATGTGTCGTATTTGATTCGTGAGGAACGGTGCCGCTGACAAATTCATTTTTCATTCAGCTCTTCAAAACACAAATCATGGGAGCAAAAATTTTTATTTAGCCCCTCAGTAATACGTTTTCAGAGCATTAAACATGTCCTGTCACTACATATTTTTATGCGTAAACTCCAAGAATAACATATTTCCCCAATTTTCCATCGAAACTGGCTATATGAAATAGTCAGCCTTGATTACCCGTCAATCAGTCGCCCCCTCGCTGTTATGTGGAGCAAGGCGTCGTGTATACGTACATTGCCCCGGGGGTGCCAAGTGGGTGATTAATTCACCCAGACATGTTTGTCAGGGGGGTAAATATGTAGCTCATGAGTCACTGGCTCATAAAAACAGATTCTGCTTGCTGGAAAAGAGAAATTCCAATGATATGTTTGTTTTAATATCCTCGCAGGTGTTTGACCTGTGTCACTAAACAAACCTACATTACGGGATTCGTATACTCCCATTTGTTCAATACATTTTATGATCATCATTTACCATTACTACTTGTATTTCCTCTTATCCATGTCATGTTTGATAGTTGATGTTGTTTTATAGAGTTAGGCTCAGTGTGTGCTCAGTTGATTTTGGTGGTGAGGTGAGGTGAGGTGAGGTGAGGTGAGGTGAAATTGGGTTTAACGTCGTGCTTGAGAATATTTCGCTCATATGACGACGTGCATGCGTGTGACACATTATACTGACTCCGAGCCGACCAGTCCTTGTTGTACACATTAATACCGAGCGCCAGGCAGGGACCAACAAGTACCATATTTTAACGTCTTTTGGTATGACGCGGCCGGGGATCGAACCCGCGACCTTCCGCTCTCCGGGCGGATGCTCTTACCACTAGAACACGGAGGCAGTCCGGATTTTGGTGGTAATGTTAGAAGACAGATATGGTAATGAGTGCGGCGTTAACCAACAACCAAACCAAACTTCATCGAGGAACGGTAGGGTGTCCAAATGGTTAAAGTTCTTGTCACGCCGACGACCCGGGTTTGATTCCACACAATGAGTGAAGCCCATTTTGGTGTTCCCAACCACCTCTTCCCTTTCCGTGAAGTTTCTGGAATATTGCTAAAGATGGAGTAGAGCAATACCTACCCACTCACTAAATTCATGAACACATCTAAACATCACTCAAAGATAGCGAACTTTGGTGTCGATTTCCATTTCATTCATATTTATTTGTACAGTTGGGTAGCCCAGTGGATAAGGTTGCTTGTATGCACGCCGGTTTGATTCCCAACACAACATGAAAATCCCACACTTGTGTTCCCTGATTTGATGCGGCTGGATATTCCATTTGGTTTGAGTGAGAGATCTGGCGATTGCTGAAATAAAGTGCTCATATTCCTTAAGACGATGAAGTTTCTACACAAATCAATATTTTACGTACTCCTGACAGATCCCTGAGTGACTGACTGACCGCAGAGTACGCCCTGTCCCCGTTGTGAAGAAATGCCATGCTATACGTTTGTATCTTCAGACTTGAATTGCATTCAGATGTGTCAGCATCGCTTTGGTCCTGCATGTTCTCGTTCCCCTGGGAGATCTCGCGCGGCAGACGAGACAAGAGTAATAAGATTATGACACGGTGAGTAATATTGTCTGGATGGCGATCCGCATTACACAATTGTTCTGGGACAACCAGCACAGACGCGAAACATATACAGTAACCATTTAGAAGGATAGTTTCGTGAAGACAAAGCTACGTATTTCAACGACAATCCTAAGTGCCCGAACGCAACATGAAGGAGGGCGAAGCAAATAGTTAAAACGACAAGAAACTCCATAGCCATTCCTCCATCGCTGTCTATCTGGACCATAACTTCACGTACAATGATCCGCAAACCAACGGCTGGATCTTGCTTCGTGATTGGGTACAGTTACGACAGTCGAACAGGGCACAGATCGCTCCCATAACGGGAACCTGACGCTCTCTCGACCATTCCCTGGAGCGACATGACAAGTTTTAATGGCGGGAATATTGAAGCATGTCCAAGCGTCTGT